AGAAGCCTGGTTTTTCCCTGCTTTCTTCACTTTTTATGAAGAACAGCATTTTGACATCATGTACCAGATGGCAGGTGACAGCACCAGGCTGACCTTATCTGCACTCAAAAATTAATCATGGTTGGACTTTTTTATTACTTAGTTTCAAACTACAGTATTAAGGAGTTCTGGGATTGCAAGGTAGACCAAATCATCATCCAGTAAGACAATTTTTGTTACAGCTCAACGTAAATTGTTTAGGTTTCATTAGCAAGTGGACCTACCATCATGCAATATTTTATGAGTCGTTTTTATTAACTTTTAGTTGTTGATAAACTACTTTTCTATATAAGGCTAGCTTCCTTTTCAGCATCACTGTGATGCCATGTTTTACTTCTGTAACAGCATAAAACAGAAATAACATCATATGATGATGTTGTAGCCCTTTCTCTTTTAAAAATAATTTACAATAATGAAAGAAGTAGTACAAGGCTATCATGCTAATTCTGTTGATTTTAAAACGGTTTGAAATAACTTTCTAGACTCGTTTTAATACAACATAACAAGTTGAGTATTTTTTTAAAGTTACCATCATAGCATGATGATGTTAAAGTGCTATTACAGTATTATTTTGGTTTGACTTTAATTCTTGCTGGAAATCTGTTTTAGTGATAAGTGGAATGATTGATGAAAAATAATAAAAGGGTGTCATGAAAGGAAGTCCATCACTAAAGTCTTACCAAGTGTATGCTGAACACCAAATGGTCTCATTCACACAGCTAGTTAATCATCACAGCTATAGATGAAACAATATTGGATGCATTTCTGTTTACTTTTTAATTTATTACAGGAGGTCTGGGAGGGCAGGGGCAGGGACAGGCCAGAAAGTCAAGATACAGCTGCAACCATTTAATCAAAGTCCCACCCTATTTTTTTTACATGTGCTGCCGTCTTGCCTTTTTTATTCATCCTGAGGATGCCCCTGATTTATTACATTTGTAACCTGTCTTTTCTCCAAAGAAATCTAGACAACATGGACAACCTTTTCACCCTACATTTTCACAATTCAGTGGGATGGCTTATAAGGGCCTCTCATTTGGATACTGTGCTAGCTGCATTCAAGTTCCCACTTTGCTTCTGTAAAACCATTCTGGGGTCTGCTCTGTGCTGATTAGGTTTCAACTGAAGCTGTACCTGCCTGGGTCCTTGTAGGTAGGCTGCAGTCTGAAGGGAAGGGGAAGGAAGAGAGAATCTGTGCAGGAGGCATCTGTTGTCAAAGGTGAAGCTCTGTGTTGTGACATTTAAAAGGAAATTGTTGCATAAACTTGTGTTCTAGGAATGTGGGTGTGCTGGGCAGGGAAGGGTACATCATGCCCCAAAGAAAAATACACCTTGCTCTTGGCAAAAGCTGTGGCTACTTAGTCTGCTACCCAAAATCCATATCTTCCAGAGCATGAGTGAGCTTAAGATAGAGCAGAATTCAAGGGCCTTCTGGAGGGTATGGTTAAAGTCTGCAAGATAGAAGGTGTAGCATTAAATTGGTGGTAGATTGGTAAGACTGTTAACTATGGCAAAACTAAAGCAGCTTCTACTTTTCTAAATTGAGTTATTAGAATTCCTGCTCTTCAACCCAAATAACAGATCTGTACTAGTGTATGGAAGTAATCTTTTCAGTTAATTGAGGAAGATGTATCTGCCCTCACCTGCCCTACCCCAAGCCCTGAGTCTTCTGTTTTGTGTCGAATTCTGTAGTACCTGGTTCCAGGTGGGGAACCTGGCATTACTGTGACCTTCAACCTGCCTTTGAAGCACCCCATTTGATCTGGGCATGCTCCTAGTGCTGAGAGTAAATTAGTTTTGCTCAGGGAAATTGCATTTTAGAGCTACTGCATTTTTTATTTGTTTTGTTTTGTTTCATTTTATTGAGCTGGCTCGGAACTGCTGTCAGTTTTGATGGATATAAGAGAAGACTGTTCATGTTCTTTTACCTCTTTAGGCCTGAAGGAGTATATAAGTGGTATTCCAAGAGATTATTCTGACCCTGAATGCTGATTGTTTGTGAAACTATGATTATCTCTATAAAAAGAGTTTCTACTTCTGCTTTACTAAATGAAGGGGGAATGTATCACCAAAGAAAAGAGAACAAAGAGTGGCATAAAATTTTCAAAGCTGATAGATAGATTGACAGACAGACAGACAGACAGACGCTAATTAGGAAAGAATGTATTACTATAATTTTAAATGTACCCTAAGTCTCATTACAGCAGGGAAATCTCCGTTTCTGTAAATCTCAGATCTACAATTCTGTGTGGTGGTAGTTTTCCAAAATGCAGTATCTGATTTGAAAGTACATTTACTTATAAAATTCATTTTAAAGATTTATATGGCCGCCCAACTCACAAAAGTGCAGCTCTAGGTGAAGTACAACAATAAAAGCAAATTTGCAATACACCAAAACTTGACAGAAAACACGACCAAACATACAGTCGAGGACACCAACATGTACTCCACCTCGTGGGACAAGCTTCTCTAGCATCCGAGTCCTAATGCAGTGTTTCTCAACCTTGGCAACTTTCAGATGTGTGGACTTCAACTCCCAGAAGGCTGGCTGGGGAATTCTGGGAGTTGAAGTCCACA